GAGCCCCAGAGAGGGGGCACTATTGAGAAGACCCCGAGAGAGGGCAACAGCACTGGGAAGCCCAGTGCGGGCGTGACGAGCCCCAGGAAGGGGGCAATGCTTTAGAAGCCCAGGTGTGGGCGTGGAAAGCCCCAAAGAAGGGGGCGGCATTTTAGAAGCCCGAGTTGGGGCAGAGAGAGAGCCCCAGAAAGGGGGGGCATTATCGAGAAGCCCCAGTAAGGGCATAGCAGGCCCCAGAAGGGGGCACTATTGAAAAGGCCCAGACAGGGGGCAACAGCGCAGAGAAGGCCCCGAGAGAGGGCGACGGCGCAGCAAAAGCCTGGAGTGGGCAAGGAGAGCCCCAGGAGGGGGCATCAGTGTACAGAGAAAGACAAACCAACGTCTATCCCATCTGCGAGGCTTGGGGCGTGGTATCAGGGGAGGTTGGAGCCACGCGTAGCCCATAAGGCTAGGGTGCCCCGAAGCACCCATTTGTGCTGGACAAGATCCACGAGGGGTCCAGGAGTCTGTGTCCAAGAGGGTATAAGGCAGCCTCCCAACTTAACTTAAGAGCAAAGACGTGGTGGGCGAGAATAGAGGGTGCCCTTGGGCCGACTTGACACGGAGAGGGAGCCTCAAAGAGATCACGGCCCTCCTGCAGGACCCCGCCGTGACAAGTGCTAATAGGTGTCTGTATGCATTCTTTTGTTAGAGAATCTTTGTGTTCACTAAGTTGAAAATAAGTATCATTCTTAATGAGCTAACACCATTTTTAAAGGAGCACCAATAACAGAAAATAGTCATTTTCAGAAAAAGGAGTTAAGGAGAATTTGGACACTGTGCCTCCAAGTCACTGTTTTAATTTTCATGATTTTACAATCCTGTTTTTTTTGTATTTTTAAATCTATTTGTATTTGCTGTGTGAAAAATCTACATATAACAGTGATTCTTAACCAAGGTGATTCGACACCAAGCAGTACCTTGCAATTATTTCAAGGGTGCCTGGGGGTGCCATGTAATGTTAGCACTGTTAGGTATACCAACATGATTCACAAGATAAAACCCAGAGTTTTCAAATAGAAATTCATCGTGTTAAAAATATTCTGCTCTGTTGTGGTCTGAGTTCTTTGCAACGGAAGAATCACTCTTTTATTTTTCTGTAATCAAAAAAGAGTCAAAACTAAGAGTTGGCGGCATGTATTGAGTCTAAAAAGGTTGAGAGCCACCGGAATAAAGGTACACTGACAATTATATAATAGTGAAACTGGCTATACAGAAATTCTTGGTACAAGTACAAAGTAAAGAAACTGAAAATAGAGACTTTTTCTCTCTCTCTCTCTTTTTTTTTTTTTTTTTAAGTTATATTAAATGTTGTTTGCACCAAGAGGTGAAAATTTCCCAGAATCTTGCCAGTATGTGATGTTCAAAATACAAAAAGCATGGTTTCAGTAGTTTTCAATTATACATTAATCTCATGTTTAAGTGTCAACTTCTGTAGAAATTACTGCTTGTCTTAAGGTTGCATCTCTTCATAACTTGTTAACATCTTTCTGAATCAAAAATGTTTATTATTTTTATTTAGTGATTCTATAATCATTCTTGCTGCTTTTCAATTATCATGTGAGCTTCCTTAAAGAAGCAAGGCCTTAAGAAAAGTAATAGCAGTATATTTCAAATAGAATATATTAAAAAATAAATCTAGCATGACATTGGAAGGTAAGAGAAGATAGGAGGGCAGGTTGAGAATCAGAGCTTGAAGGACAGAAAATTTCATTGACTCCATTCATTGTTTTATCAGAACAGTTAACAGTGACAGTTTCTGTCAGTTGGCTGCCATGAATATTTGTTTTTTCTTTGACACACTCTTT